TGACGGCTAAGGCCCTTGGGCCTCTTGTTTCCTGGTAAGTATCGATGCCTATTGAGGTTAAACCTAATGAAACCACAAACTATTAATAGATTTAAGTATTCTGATGTGATTCTGTACTACACTTTCAGAGATTGAGAAGACGGTGTATGTGCCCAGATATACTGGCCATAGTTTCCTGTTATACACTGGCCGGAGTATCAACAAACGGTGAGGATACCAATTAATCAAGTCCACCCTATACAAATGTAGTCGGTATTTGTTCGAATAAAATTGTCCTTCAATGTGTTTTAATAAAAAAATTCACAGACTGAAGGCAATTGAGACATTTATATATTACTAATGAAATGGCCTCCAAGATCATGTTTACATTTGAGACTTAAGATTACATTACTTGTATGACGAAATGGCTTTAAGATCACTTTATCATTAGAGACTCGTGTTATACAGAGCGAGTGGCTCTAAAATTACATTACTTAAATGATCAAATGGCTTTAAGATCATGTTTACATTTGACACTTAAGATTACATTACTAAACTTAAATGATGAAATGGCTTTAAGATCCCTTTAACACATAGAGACTCGTGTTGTACAGAGTGAGTGGCTCTACGATTACATTACTTCAATGATGAAATGGCTTTAAGATCACTTTAACACATAGAGACTCGTGTTGTACAGAGTGAGTGGCTCTACGATTACATTACTTCAATGATGAAATGGCTTTAATATCACTTTATCATTAGAGACTCGTGGTTTACAGAGTGAGTGGCTCTACGATTACATTACTTCAATGATGAAATGGCTTTAATATCACTTTATCATTAGAGACTCCTGTTTTACAGAGGGAATGGCTCTAAGATTACATTAATTAAATGATAAAATGGCTTTAAGATCACTTTAACACATAGAGACGCGTGTTTTACAGAGGGAGTTGCTCTAAAATTACATTACTTAAATTATGAAATGGCTTTAAGATCCCTTTAACACATAGAGACTCGTGTTTTACAGAGCGAGTGGCTCTAAGATTACACTACTTAAATGATGAAATGGCGTTAAGATCACTTTAACACATAGAGACTCGTGGTTTACAGAGTGAGTGGCTCTAAGATTCCATTACTTAAATGATGAAATGGCTTTAATATCACTTTATCATTAGAGACTCATGTTTTACAGAGTGAGTGGCTATAAGATTACATTACTTAAATGATGAAAAAGCTTTAAGATCACTTTATCCTTAGAGACTCGTGTTATACAGAGCGAGTGGCTCTAAAATTACATTACTTAAATGATCAAATGGCTTTAAGATCATGTTTACATTTGAGACTTAAGATTACATTACTAAACTTAAATGATGAAATGGCGTTAAGATCACTTTAACACATAGAGACGCGTGTTTTACAGAGGGAGTTGCTCTAAAATTACATTACTTAAATGATGAAATGGCTTTAAGATCACTTTAACACATAGAGACTCGTGTTTTACAGAGTGAGTGGCTCTAAGATTACATTACTTAAATGATAAAATGGCTTTAAGATCATGTTTACATTTGAGACTTAAGATTACATTACTAAACTTAAATGATGAAATGGCTTTAAGATCACTTTATCATTAGAGACTCATGTTTTACAGAGTGAGTGGCTCTAAGATTGACATCCAGCTGACCATGAAGCCAGAGAGCCCCAATGGTCTGATCCTGTGGAGTGGCCGCGAACAGCCCATCACCTCAAACAGTGACTACCTGGCCCTTGGGTTTGTCAATGGTGCCCTCCAGTTCCGCTACAACCTGGGCAGTGGAGAGGCCGTCATCTCTTACAATGACACACGCCTATATGATGGAGAATGGCACACAGTTAGGGCTCAGCGGTAAGGCTGGGGGTGTTACTCGCTTAGTCAAAGAGAGCTATCTCTTATAGGGGTAAGGGTTGGGAAAGTCTTTATTCACAATCATAAAATCCAAACTCAGCTAATGGAGCACATGGTAATGATTGGTCACAGAAATAAGCATAATAATATTCTATAAGCAAGTTCATCAAATCTGGTTAATTGTTCTCCTTGGTTAATTCCCTTATATCGTTACATGTTGATTCTAATTGATGCCATTTTAGATGAAAGGCATAAGTCATCAGAAGATTCAAAACGTTCAGGTTATTATAGCAATCTTTTATTGGACCCCTGCTTCATCAGACTCAGTTTCCAGAACTATCCTAGCCACCATTTCATGCATGGACATCGTTCTGATACGTAGGTATTATATAGATAATCAGAAGATCCTGTGTCACATATCAAAATGGAACATTGCAACCACCGTGTTTGAACTTGACCTCAAGTACCAAAATCAAGTTTCCGGAGCATATCTAGGCCAGTGTTCCATGTTGCAACTCCAGACAGACTTTGTATGTAGGTATTTCATAAAAAGTTGATGTTTCAGATACCAAAATAGCAGCACCATGACCTCTATTTGACTTTTTACCATGACCTTTGGTATAAAAATACAGGTTTTGGAAATGTAGCTCAACCACTGTTTCATGTACTGCTTCAAACTTGGCAACTAGGTACACCATCAGTAGGCGCTGTGTCAAACACAGAAATTGGAACACTGCTTCCTTTGTTCAACTTTTGACCTTGACCTCAAGTTTAGAAATACAGGCTCCTAGGCTACATGTGCCGAGTATCCACAAAACCTCCACTCTGATTTAAGTCTACCTGGAATGCCCTTCTGAGAGCACGGCATTATTCAAAATTACATCAGTTGTCTTATTTGTTGGAAAACTGATAATGTTTTCTAATTTGGTAAATGTAGTAATAGACAATCTAAGATAAAACCAGTCATATTCTCATCATCATAATAAATCAAGTAAGAAATATTGCAAAATATTTAAAGAAATTGAATTTGTATATTTTCAGGGACAAACAAGATGGATTCCTAGAGGTGGATGAGACAGAAATTGTGGAAGGAAGTTCCCCAGGCAGCTACACCATGCTCAACACCAACAAAATGTTATATATAGGTAAGGGGAGTAACTCAACACCAACAAAATGTTATATATAGGTAAGGGGAGTGACTCAACATGAACGAAATGTTGTATATAGGTAAGGGGGGTGACTCAACATGAATGAAATGTTGTATATAGGTAAGGGGAGTGACTCAACATGAACAAAATGTTGTACATAGGTAAGAGAAGTGACTCAACATGAACAAAATGTTGTATATAGGTAAGGGGAGTGACTCAACACCAACAAAATGTTGTATATAGGTAAGGGGAGTGACTCAACATGAACAAAATGTTATATATAGGTAAGGGGAGTGACTCAAAATGAACAAAATGTTATATATAGGTAAGGGGAGTGACTCAACATGAACAAAATGTTGTTTTCACATAAGATGTATTATTCTGTTTTAACTTTCATATGAATTGTTTTTCCAATATATGCATTTATTATATTTCTTTAGGAATTTATTACAATAATGAATCTCCTGTCGGATCAACAAAAGCCAAGTAAATCAATTTACTTCATGTAATTGATGCATGTATCTTGTTCAATAAATTTTAACTGTGAATTTATTTCATATATATATATCTATACACTTTAAGAAAAAAAAAAAAATCTGTGTGATTTCAGGAGGAATGCCCAACGTTTCACAGAACACCCTTAGAAAGTTCACGCGGGGATTCGACGGCTGTATCGCCAGCCTAATGCTGGCCGAGGACTATGACATACGGCTGGGGGAGGAGGCACAGAGCGGTAGAAACATACTGCCCTGTCGGACCCAGTTATAATAGAGTATTATAATGACATTATAGTAGAGGTCATCTCGGATGGTCACTATGTGTTTAACATGCTGTACTTCAGTATTATGTGATAAAAACTTCACTTCCTCCCTGTTTTAGCTAGGGTACATCACCATACAGGGACATACCGTTGCCTCTCAGTCAACTCCTGTTTCCCGACAGAACACTATAGGTTGTTGGACTGCGTTAGACTGTGCTGTCATTGTGAGGATAGATTGTGCTACTGTACAGTGCTGTAGACACAGCGAGGAGGAACACCCCTTAGATATACACTAACGTACCATGTATCGATTTTTCTGACCATGTTAATTTCCAAAGATTGCAGTTGTCTTTATCATATTAAATTTTCTGAACATTTTGAAATATTAACTCATTCACCCCTGAAGACACATTAGAACTCTTCCAGTTCAATGGTTGGAACAGTTCATTGTGAAATTTCAGGGGGGAAATGAGAGACGTCAAAACACAAGTAATGTCACAGTGAGGATGTTGAGTGTTGCAGGATAGAGAAAATGTAGCACATATTTACCGGAAATTTTTTTCCGCAATTTATCTTCATCATTTTCACCCTCCGTATTCGTGGCAAAATCATCATAAGACCAAGTGTAATTGAAAAGCAAACCATGTATAGTAATTACATGTTAATGGCAAAATTAATAATGGGCAAATATGGATTTTATAAGTGAAGGGAAAAAAATATGACTAGGCAGAAGTTTTCATGTATACAGAATTTACGGGGAGGGTAATCAATATTTGAGGATTGCTGTTACAATTCTGGGGGTGAAAACAATAGCATAATATATGTTCAATTACAAGTATATTCCATATTGAATCCATTCTGTTCTAAGATTGGGTCACACTGTTTGTTACTATCACAGTCTGTTGCCTCCTGAATCAGTTGGGATATATTTTATCTCAGTGGTGTCCTGTTGTGTTCTGAAGGTGACTGGAGTTATCTCCCATTACATAGTTTTGTGAAAAACAGTTAATTTAAAACAGATATATAGACATAAAAGCATTCCGGAATTCTGCATTTTCAGTTCAATGTAACTTAGATTCATTGCTTGGAAAAATTGTAATTGCTATTCATTCTAAGATGTTCAAAACCATTTTGGGTAACGTTTGTTTGAAAGGGCCGGATGATGTAGTTACATACAAGCTGATAGAATTGCAACTTATGTCATTCCAGCCTGTTGTCACAAGCAACAATAAATATGTTGACTCTCTAGACAATAGTTCACAGGTAAACAAAAAGAAATGATTACAAGATAGCTTTACAGCATTCGGCCACGTCCTGTCAGCTAGTGTTATGTAAAAATTACACTTTATAGTTGGATTTTCAAATAATTTGAAACCAAACTTTAAAAAAATGGATTTTATCAATTGTTATCAAAATGTGATAACTTTGAATCTCAGAACAAATATGTTAAAGTTACTTTTTAACGACTAAGAATATATTAGTGGATCTTTTCCTTAATGTTTTAATGAACTAAAGGATCTTGACTCAAGGTAGTCCTGGAAATCATCATCATCTGTACATAGCTCATCTTGTGTGTCGTTAATTAATCAAACATGGAATTTACTGTTACTGAACATCGTGAACAATGAAACATAAATAACATTGTTTATGAAATTGTACTAGAACTATTGCTGTAAACATTGTAAAGGGGAGGGGCCATATAGGAGGTTACCATGGTGATGATGACAGCTAGTATGTATAGAAGGGAAAGCCGTGGACACTATAGGAGTAGAGGCGCTGAGGTGAAGTGTTTATATAAAAGGGTTGCTATGTAACGGACAGAGGGCAACAGTCAAACCTGTCTCTAGGATTATTTTATTACACAAAATATAAATATGTACCTGTATTTTACATTGACATTCATGCATTTTACATTAACATGATGCGTTTGTTTTTATCATGACATTCCTATAAGAACGTTGTTATTTTAAGCAGGATTATCACATGGTGTTTGTTACAATTATCATCAGATGTTGTAGTAAGTCAAGATTTGCTGTGTTGTATCGAATTCATGGTTCTCGGCCGTCATCCTGTCCGATGCTTATCTGACCAGTTACGAACTGTAACCATCATCGTCACTATATCATCTTCGCTGTGAAATGTTTGGTAGAAAACATTGACCCACTCATACTTTTCCGATTTAAGTCTAATGACGAGATTTGACAGTTAGGACGAGATTGAAGAACTTCAGGTTGTGTTCTGTTAAACCACATTCCCACTCCAGACTTGTGGATTTCAGACTTTGCTCAGGGGCTGCCTTAAATGTCACATGTGGGAGATCTGCTGATGACATACCTATTACAAATCTACAGTCCTCTATAGGGCTAACACACATAGTGTAGTAGGGCATTTCTACATACGGGATGGTTATTACAAATATCACAAACATATATATATAGCTTGCTATAGGGCTAACACACAAAGTGTAGAAGGACATTTCTACATATGGGATGGTTATTACAAATATTACAAACATATATATAGCTTGCTAAAGGGCTAACACAAAAAGTGTAGTAGGACATTTCTACATATGGGATGGTTATTACAAATATCACTAACAAATAAACTAGGTCCTACATTTCTTCAATATTCCACCCCTTATATGAAATATGTTATTTCTATCGCCCATTTGTAATGATTACAAATCAATACTGTCACAGTCACTTTGTAAATGTCTTCTTGAAGAATACGAACGGACGTCATATGATCCTTTTTTTTAACATATGTAATGACATCCATGGGAAATGTGAAAATGGATAAGAAATATGAATATATAAAATGATTTTTAGTTTGATCATGGTTGATTTCTGTAGCTGTTTTATTACTTTGTATTGCTAATATAAAGAAACATAAGAACCATTGCGCTTATTTAAGTTGATCATAATGATATACCTATTGGTCAAATGGGATACTTATTGGTCAAATGAGATACTTATTGGACAGATGGGATACGAGGCCATTTGCCTGATGGAATACTTATTGATAGAATGGGATACTTATTTAGGCCAGATGGGATGCTTATTGGTAGAATGGGATACTTATTTAGTCAATATAGCATGCTTATTGGACAGATGGAATACTTATTTGTAGAATGGGATACTTATTTAGGCAATATGGCATGCTTATTGGACAGATGGAATACTTATTTGTAGAATGAGATACTTATTTAGTCAATATGGCATGCTTATTGGACAGTTGGAATACTTATTTGTAGAATGGGATACTTATTTAGTCAATATGGCATGCTTATCTGACAGTCGGAATACTTATTTGTAAAATGAGATACTTATTTAGGCAATATGGCATGCTTATTGGACAGATGGGGTACTTATTTGTAGAATGGGATACTTATTTAGTCAATATGGCATGCTTATTGGACAGATGGAATACTTATTTGTAGAATGAGATACTTATTTAGGCAATATGAGATGCTTATTGGACAGATGTCAATAAGATGTATTCCACATATATAGTTAGTATAAGACTACAGGTTTCTGTGAGTGAAGGAAACACGTTGGTTGTGCAATGTCATTCTTTACTGTAACGTATACAATGAAACCTCCTTAATCTGATTTAGATCTTGGAATTGAACCTTTGGATGCATACTTCAAATGACAATAAGTTCGGCTTTTCTTAATAAAAAAAACCACGGAAAAGTTTGGCTCTGCATGCTTTAAAGTCTGGAACATTTGAACATATTTTTGTGATTTGTATTCCAAACATTGTCCTAGAATCGAAACACTAGTACAGATTAGGAGGTTTCACTGTACTTCTGGTGTTAACATTCCAATGTGTCGCGGTTGTGCTAATGTTTACATTTTATAAGCTTTTTACTATGTGATAAATCAGCTGGTTTTATCAGACTTTTATTCGGTATTGTTTTTGTGGATATTCCTTGTTAGTGATGTCAGTGTTGTGTTATACAAAGGTAGACTCTAGTCTACTAGGTTACTGGGTTTCGTTGTACAAATGGTTTTTTTTTCTAGGTTACCTACAGCTTTTCAAATCGCTACCTTGTTCTTTGTATAGGCATTTTATGTACAGCCAGAACAGTTAATTTCAAATTTTTTGATATAACATTTTGCTTCAGCTGAAGAGAGAAATGATATTGTTAAAATAATCACATTCCTAAATCAAAATCATTCTGCTGTATGAAACTGTTAAGTTTTACTGTGTGTGATTGTCGGTTTAGATTTCATTGTTGTGTTCCGTACACGTATTGTGTCTCGTTCTTTACCATGAACTAATGACCTGTATGTATTCATACATCATTTTACCGAAACAAATAAATTCTTCAGATAAAATCATGTTAAAACGACATTTTGACTCTGAGTTATTTGTGTTGGAAGTCAACTGTTCAAGGGGAATGACACTGCAAACCCTCCCGAAAATTACGTGAGTCTCCCGAATTTTTATGGTACCTCTCAAATTTTTATGATACCTTCCAAATATTCCCATCGAGGTAAATGATAAAATCTCCTGATTTCTCACGATTTTGAACAACTTCCTCACTTAACCCATTCACCCCAAAAGTCGCATTTGAAGCTTCTGAATCAAAGACTGGGAAAGTCCAATTTAAGTATGTAGGTGTGAATGAGTTAGCAAGTTCCTACCTATCTAAAGTCCTGCCTTTGGTTATTCCACACTCCATCTAACACAAGTGTTATAGGCTAATTCAGAAATGATGTATCATATAAAAAGGAGCCGAAACCATAAATGCACACATATTTTTTCATCAAATGTATAAATTTGTGTTATCAACCCAATCCTTATATTTCTTGTGACTTAACAGCCCTTTTTGACCACTGGTTAGTTGATATGACGCTTGCGTGCTGTCTTGCACGACCACTTCACCACATTGTTTACTTCTAACTGGGTGACTAGATTCAGCTAATAATGGCGATTTACTAAACACGTATGCAAGAGCAACTGTTACACATATATACTTCCTTAGTAAGTCCTTCTTCCAACTACATGTATGGACAGCGATGGCGGGAGTGAAGCCATAATTTAATAAAACCTAGAAATTGCGGGTTGACTACCACTTTCACGTACTGAGACTGAAATTTCGGGTTGACTACCACTTTTTACGTACTGCGACTTTATACAAGTTTTCGTCACAAAACTATTGAGGAATCTAAAAGAGAGTGAAGTAATACTAACGTTGCACCATAATGTCGAACCTCTTCACGGCAGGGAGGACCAAAGACAGTACGTCTATATGTATATATATTACAAGTGTATTTTGCTGACGTCATTGTACCCAAAACATGACGCCTTTCAAATAAATTGATGTTGTGTATACCATAGTATCGAAAATGGTATACAATTTTTCATAAATATTTATCATCTACATTTATTTCTTTTTCAAATTGATATTAACGCAAATACTATTAGGGTAGGCCCTTGAGCAGGTGAAGCTGTACCCTGAAAGAGACAGGTTGGTTATTTGGTTTATGTTGTATGATAAACGATCAATATAAGCAGAAAAGTACACGTAGTTCAAATATTTTAGACTCGAATGAGACTCAGATTGAATTTCTCTTTCAAACTAGCATTTGTTTGGAAAAAAAATAGTTTCTAAAAATGATATCCCATTAGACAGCGTCGCACGGCACGTAATTCGTAAACCAAGAAAGTTACATTTTCAAAATTATTTCTATCCTAAACTGTCTGTGTGACCATTATCAACAGTCAGGTTTGATTTGATTTTGTTTAACGTCCTATCAACAGCTAAGGTTAATTCAGGACGTGCCTCTGTGTGTGTAATGTATACATGTTTTCCGACAAGTGTCCCGTTAGTTGCTTGAAGCGGCGGCTTCTTTTTTTAAATCCCGTAAAATCTGGCGTCGTGAGAACAGCCAAACTAGCCTTGCCTGGTAGTCGGAAGGTATGACCTATATAGAAGAAGCAGTTAGTTGCTTTTCCATGTAATCTATTACCACAGTCCAAAGCTTGGCCGATTGTCACGAATCAGGATGATGCAATATCACGTAAACACATACAGACAATAGCACTTTGACCAGCAGGGATGATGCAATCAGTCTATAAAACGTTGCTGCTTGAACTTGGCTACCTGGACAAGCGGCTCCTTCTTGTACTGTGGATGTTGCTGTGTTGAGCTCTGTACCGTAACAAGTGGGGATTTCTTTTGTGGATGTTGTAGTGATTAGCTCTGTACCGTAACAAGTGGGGATTTCTTTTTTGGATGTTGCTGTGTTGGGCTCTGTACCGTAATAAGTGGAGATTTCTTTTATGGATGTTGCTGTGTTGAGCTCTGTACCGTGACAAGTGAAAAGTTCTTTTGTGGATGTTTTATTGTTGAGCTCTGTACCGTGACAAGTGGGAATTTCTATTGTGGATGTTGATATATTGAGCTCTGTACCATAACAAGTGGGGATTTATTTTGTGGATGTTGCTGTGTTGGGCTCTGTACCGTGACAAGAGGGAATTTATATTGTGGATGTTGATATATTGAGCTCTGTACCATAACAAGTGGGGATTTATTTTATGGATGTTGCTGTGTTGGGCTCTGTACCGTGACAAG